AAACAAGTTTAGTAAATAGATTAATTTAATGATTATACGCTTGTATTTAGGAATGATTATTTGTATTTTTGTTTTTATTATTAAAATACTTAATTATTTTAAGATACTTATTATCAAAATGTATTAAGAGTGAAAAAGTAAAAATTATTGTTTACTAAATTGATTTTATCTAAATTATGAATTTAATGTTTTGCTTTTGGATTAATATATGTATAATTTTGTAACTTTCCTGTTTTTCAATCTTTTTTTATTGCTTCTAAAGATTAAATATATTAACATTAAATGTAATGATTTAATACAATTTTAAAATAATGATTTAACAAAACAGCAAAGTTACAGAATCCCATTGCGAAATATCTTATTTACATTCTATTTTCCAAATAATGTAGATAAAAGCTCTTAGTAAAATAACACTTCCTGTGGAAATGTATATATATACATTTATAATAATATATATCTAAGATTTATAAAAACTATAATAAAAATATGTATATATATGTTATTAAAATTCAATCATTATTTGTTAAAATTATTTATTGTTTCAAATACTTATATTTAATTTTAATTTTTTTATTATAATATTATGAAAACAAAATTCATATAAAAATTGCAATTAAATAATATATTTTAATAAATAAGGAATCCTGTAATACCTCTAATAATTACTTATTTTATTCATATTATGTATATTTATTAATAAAATAATTTTATGTATTAAGAGTTTTATTTTTATTGTATTTTATTGTATTTTATAATATATTATATAGTTTGAAATCCTCCAAAGTATGTAATACTCATCAAAAATATTAAACAGATAAAAGAAATGCATTCAGAAAATGAAAGATGCTAAAAATGTGGCAAACAAACTTTACCAGCAAATAATTCTGAAATTACTGTAATCCATAAAGCTAAAACAAAAAGTATATAAGAAATGCCAACTTGATGTGAATTTGGTAATTGATATGGTTGTCCACCAATTTCATCAATGTGGAATCCCATTGGAAATATAACAGCTGCTAAGCAAAATAGTACCACTGAAATGAAATTATATTTTATAATACATAAAAAATTTTATTTTTCAAAAATAATTAACATTATTAATTATACTTACTAGCTGTAAATCCTACCCATCTTGCATAGGGAATGACATTACGATCCCAATGAGAACTAGCTAATAATATTATAGTAGCTGTTATCAAAATGCATCCAACAAAAATACAAACAAGAGCCATAAACCATTCTGGCTGTAAATCTGGACTATAACAAACTTGAGGTCTATTATACAAGGTCATGCATGACCACATTAGTCCTAATCTTGTATCCCCTGAAAAAAACCAAAATAAAATATTTTATATTTATATAAACAATATAAAATATAAAATATTTTATATAAAAAATAATGACAATATATTATTTATTATTTTTGAAGTAGCTTAAAATCATATAGATAATAAAAAAATAATAAAAATTATTGAATCGTTAAATAAAAATCATGTAAGTATTAAAAAATCAATAAACAAAATAAAATATTACTCACCACCGACATCAGTAATAATCCAATCAGGCATTGCAAGACTTACAATTGCGAATACATCGGCAGCAAGAAACAATGTTCCCGAAATAATTGTTAGTTTATCCATTATGTTAATAATAATTAATTTCATTTTAATGTATTAAAAATAAATAAAATCATCATTATGGAAATTTTATTTCCTAATTACTTGAATAAAAGCTAATGTATTTAAAGTTTTTTCGTTTAACCATCAATATTACTTCTTTGTACGTATACATATAATATACAGTTTTCTAACCTAAACATTTGTGTAACTCATTTATATAGATATACAAAAATGTCTAATATATATAGGATTAAACAATTTAAAAAAAAATCAAACAATGAATTAAATGAATTAAATGTAATAAATAAAAAATATAATTAACATATATTATTTTTATACTTGTAAAAAAATAACTTTTTTACAAATAATAAATTATATTTTATGTACATATTTTTATCACATAATTCATTTAAGTTTTTCATATACAACTCTATTTTTGTAGTAAATAAAACATTTCAAATATAATTACTAAATAAAATATTTTGCTCCAGTTAAAGAGTATTTGAATATATAGAATGATTTCGTCGCTTAAACTTCTTACAATTGGGTTCAATTTGAATGAAATGATTATTACCTGAAATATAGACAATACATTTTACTATATAATTAATTAAAACAATAATGTGATACATAATAATGCAAAAATAATGTATCACTCACTATCATCTGTACAATCATAATTTACTGTTGATGATAAATTGTTTGTAAGATTTTCATTTACAATATCTTTACTGTTATTTATTTCTGATTCTTGTTCTTCGTTATTACTTTTGGGAGATAAATTTAATGGTGATGTTCGATTAAATGAATCACTAGTTAAACTTCCATCAAATGTAGAATTTAAAATATTATCTTCATCAAAGGAGGCAGAAATTTCATGAGAACTCGATATTTGTTCACATGATGTTTCCATTAATGATTCGTTTGATTTAAATTCTTTTGTATTATTCATTAATAACAATAAAACAGATGGATCATCAATACCTAAAGTATTACAAAAATGTGTTGTTTGGATATTTACTAATAATTGTGGTGGTTCCACTGATATATCTATAGCATCAGGATTATATGGTTTCACTGTTTGTGTAAAATTTAATGGAATTTGTAAATTATAGTTAAATTTTTTTAAAACTAATGCCTTTTCCTCTACAGTTGGTGTAAATATCCATCTAGTATTACCATATTGTCCAGGCATATAATGAATTCCACTTTTGACACTCAATAAATGATTTGTTAAATATAATATTGTTAACCATTCTAAGTCATAATGTAATTTTAATGGTAAATCTAAATTATGTTTTATTTCAATTACTTGAAGAAATTTTCTTTTTGGAAGACATTTATCTAGAGCTAAAAATTTAGTTATTCTTGTTCCTTCTTTTTCAGGAACAAGTGCTGCAAATTTACAATGTAAATGTGCAGAAAACCAATAATTTGGATAATGATGTTCTAAAAGTTCCATACTTGGTGGACTACCAAGCATGTTATTTTCAATATCATTTCTATAATGAAAAAATAAATTATTTTAACAAATATTTATATATATTTCTAAAAATTAATATTTTAAAATTTTTCATTAGCTTACTTGAAAAATGGTTTCCCTTTTAATAAAATATTTTCATCTCCATATTTAGTTATGCCTGAAGGCCAATCATGAGATAAGAAAATATCAATATTACCAGTAAGCTATAAATAATACTATCATAAATAAAATAAACAATAATGAATAATAAAATAATGAAATATAATATAAAAAAATATAATATAAAAAAATAATGTAACAAATAAAAAAATATTCTTATTTTGCTTAAGATATATATTAAAAAACAGAACATATATTACCTGTTTTAATCTAAATATTTCTAAATTTCTAATATGATACACACTTCTAATTGTATTTTCATTATATGGTGGTTTCTCATGATGTCCTTGCATCCAATGTTGACTTTTATAAATGCCTGATAATCCTGCAATTCTAATTCCACCTATTGTTATTACATTAGCATATCCTAAATAATAAATATTAGGAGCTACCCATCCACCATATGGTAACTCTTGAAGATAATTTGAAGCTTCATGATTTCCTCCAATAAATATTGTTAATACAGGAGCAATTTTTTCTCCAGAGTAATATCTATAATATATTATAAAATTTTTAGAATTTCTCATTTTATATTATACACAATA